AAAGGTATACTAAAGTACCAGGTTATGCTGTGAAGTAGATGCTAGAGTCTAAGTAAACTCTACAAAGGCATAGCAGTTTAATGGTTAGCCCTGACCACAAGTGTTAGTTCTGCCATAGTGAAATCTAGGTTAGCTGTAAAAATGAGTACAGAAGGCTCTGGGAGGTTTACCTCGAGGATAAATTAGTCCTAAGATTGAGGATAATGATCTGGTACATCTGAGATGATCAGTGATATTAATACAAATTACAGGTTCAGAGAGTTTAAAGTAGAACACCCACACAGGAGTGTTAGGTATAGCAATTGGTAGGGAACCTTCAGGCAGACTTCTTAAATAGGTAATATAGAAAAGTTATACATGTAGCCAATTGTATGCTTTCCTGTAGTAGTCCATTGAATCACAATACCGATAAGTGATTAATAAAAGTCAAAAAGACCAAAGAGGTTACCTTAATACCAAAAAAAAATAATAATAATTTAGTAAAGTAAATAGGTTGTCAATTTCAAGTAACAAGTTTACAGTTCAAATTTTATAGATGATGAATTTTGAAAATTAGATCTGTGTTATAGTAACTGTCTTTGTTAATCAGTTGAATTAGTGTATCTTTAATCTTTAGTTGCATTATTTTAAATAAAAGCTCAAAGCATTTATATAAAGTATAATGTTATATATATAGAAGAGTATTAATAACTGGTGTTGTTTAAGACTTTAGTGCAAATCTATAATAAAATCACTAAATGCAGAAAATAAAAAAACTAAAAAGTCAGAAGCCTACTTGAAAATTCTGAATAAAAAAGTAGCACAAAATTTTGACAATATTATTAAACTAATAAAAAGTTTATAAAACATCTTTAAAGAGATAGTTAAATAAATCAGATAACAAAATATATAGAAAGCATATAACTAACCAGACTGCTAGAATTACTAAAAAAAAAAGATACTAAGATATATATACTGAATTATTTAAATTGAAAGTCTGAAAAGTTCTGTTAATTTTGAATAGTAATTAGTAAAAAACAATAAAAAAACATTAGAAAAATAGATATTAGAGTTTGAGTAAACCTTACAAAAGTGTAATAATTTAATAATTAGTCCTAACTGCAAGTACTAGTTTAGACAAAAACAATATCAGGTTAGTTGTAAATATAGAATACAAAAAGCTCTAATAGGTTTAGTACAAAGTTAAATATAACTTAATAACTATAATATATTTGTACTTAAATGCAGTTAGTAGAATAGGAGTAGATATAAGAACTAGAATGTTTAAATAAAAAACTTACAAGCAGGTTCTAGATATAGCAACTAGTATAAAACCTTTAAGCAAACTACTTAAAATAAACAATAACTAAAGTTGTATAAGTAGTATACTCTTTTTATAATTATCTCTGTAGTTATTGTATACAATAACTATAAACTAACATATTATTATATTAAAATTTAAAAAATAGTAATAATTTTTTAATAATTAAATATACATGTGATTTGTAAAACTTTCTATAAATTATTTTTTATAATTGATTTTTTTATTAATAATATTATAAATAATATTTAGAATGCTTTACTTATTACAGTATTATATAAGTGTTACAAAGTGAAAAACTGAAAGTAAATATTTAAGTTCTTATTATAGCAAATTTAATTCCTAAAAAACTTCAATATTATGTACTGATAAACAATATTTTAATAGTTCAATAGTTCAGTAACAATAACAATACACTTAAATATTAAAAAAAAAATAATAATAACAATACATTCATATAAAATTTTACTAAACAACTAGAACAATAATTATATACATAATCAATCATATAACATCAAAATTTACAAGACTAAATGAGCACTCATATATGATTATACAATAAGAATAGAACCTAAAAAGACTATAAGAGTAAAGAGTATAGCATTCTTAATTAGTAGTTTTATCAAAATTTATAAAGAAGAATAAGGTATTATGACACACTTAAGAGTTACTTATATAAAAAATTTTATGAATACCATTTTTATTTACAAAATTCATTGAAATAGATTACTTCACAAATTAACTATTTGCCAATAAAAAAAAAAATTAACTTTAAAAAAAATATTTTAAATGAGCTTTCAAAATCTACTTAAAAAATACTGTTTTTTACATTTGGAGGGTATTATGACGACCCACCATGTTCACTATATGTTTCGTATTGTATTATTGCAAAAAAAAAATTTATATTGGATTCGTCTCAGTAAGATGAATCGATTCTGATCAATGTATCATGAGATATCATCAAAAAACACGAGTGCATCATAATACCCTACCCTTCTTTATATTATAGGGATTTGAAATTTTACAGATTGTTGAGAACTTGCCAGCTGATGAACAGTATAAAAGTAAGTGGTTACAGCTTTTAAGGTGAGTAAACAATAACATTATTTTTTGTTCGTATATTTTTTGGCCATGCCAGTCCCTGCTTAACATACCCACAATTTACTTTCAAGAACTGGTTATCGTATATTGTTTGCTACAAGAGATTTTTATTTCTAGTTAATTTTTACTTATAATGAGTTTTTAATATATTTCTTGCAGAGTTCTTCAAATGGCAATTATTAACTTTAACTGTGTCATCAGTGGAGGAAACACCAAAAATGAAACTTTTATAATTAAGATTTCTAATGACAAAAAGTATAAATTGCTCAAATATATGGTAAAAAAATGCTTGGCACCTTTATTTGATTCAATTCCTTCTACTCAAATCACACTTCATTCATGGTCCAATATTTAAACCAATGATTAAAATTTCTAAAAACTTTACTACTAGCCCTAATGAAAATGGCGTTCATATTTACATAGACCCCCCAAGAAATTAATTTTTTTAATTTATTTTAAATAGTAAATTTTTTTTTATTTGTACATTATTGTTCTGATAACAATTATTATAAAATAAAGAGAGGTTCTGTGGGCTTTCCATCTTCGAATCAGTTTAGCCGAATATAATTGTACTGTATACACTTATTAGATTTAAAATAATATTATATGAATACAAAATTTCATGTTTTTTATCATGCGATTTCAGTAACTAATATTTGCTTCACACCACAGATACATATATGATTAAAAATCCAAGCACAGAAATTACCATTTTATAATTATTGAATAAAATACAAATATCATTTTCTTTCATGGTCAAGTTCACCTGATGAAATATAATGAATAAAACTTTAATAAGTCTAATTGCACACCCCTTGTTTATTATATCATATTGTTAACCAGTCCATAAAAATCTTGAGGTTAATGAGTACATCAGTCAAAAACCCTGGTCTGTTCAGAAAATTCGTATGTATTAGCTCTGTGAAACTCCACTACATATATTCGTCCAACAACAGGATCTGGTCGTCCTGACACCAAGTTACTATAGCTGCTAAATAATCGTGCAACAGCATCATCCATTGTTTGCATTCTATTAAATGCGAAGACTGAATTTGATTGCGGAAGACGTGTGACATTGGGAAATGGGTTAGGAGCAGGGCTTCAGACACTATAGTGATATGCCGGCCATTTACTGCGCCAATGCCAATTGTTTGAAGTGTTGTTTTTGATCCATCAAATTAGAATCTATCATTATAATCTATGGTTAACAATAGCAATAAATATAGATGAATAAAAATTTTAGAATTCATTACTGTTCTATAGTCATTAAATTTAAACTTGTAGCAGTTAAAAAGTATGCGTGAATATTAAGCTAAATGTCAATGAAAATAACATCTTAACATGTCAATCGTTAATAGAAAGTTTCAGCAAAGTTGGAAAGATAGTTATTCATAGCTTGAATATGATACTTCAAGTAATCAAATGTTTTGTACCTTATGTCATACTTGTAATAAAGCAAATGCATTTGCGACAAGTGGTAAATATATTATTTTATTTACAGACAACTCTCCTATAAAGAATGTTTTATAATGAACTTTTTAAAAAAATTTATTATAGAGCATAAAAACTGTCAGTTCGTTATAAAGAAAGTTAACTGTATAAAAATTCATTAGTATAAATTATTAATAAATATTTACATACAATTTGGTTCTACAAATCTTAAACTTTATGTAGTAAAAGAACATGAGCAAACTAAAGATCATGTTGATTCATACAAAAAAGATAAAATTTTGAATATACCATCTGAACATATTGTGAGTTTAATGAAAATTATTTACTACATTGCCAAGTATGATATTCCGTTAAATAAATTTCAACCATTAATCTACCTTGGTCATGCTATTGAAGTTTCACATTTAATTTCCAAGGATCACTTAATTACATATGAAAACAATTTTTCTTTATGCGAATTACTTTTTTCTATATCTGTTTTAGTTGAACAAAGTATTTGAAATAAATTAGATCTTGTTACGGCCATAGGAATTATAGTCGATGAAAGCAATGACATTGCTTCAGAATCTCATATTATCATTTATGTTAGATATCTTATTAAGAGTATTATTAAAATACGATTTTTAAAATTGATTCAAATTGAAAATAATGATGTTAAATCAATTTACAATGCAATAGTTAAACCATTTACCTATAGAAGTAAGTTTTTAAATAAATATTTATTTTAATTATATTATTCTAATTATTTAATTTAATTAAACAGAAATACAACATAAAATTTTCACATTTATATCTGATGATGCAAGTGTTATGTAGAGAAGTCTTACTAAAGTTGCTACACAAATGTCTCAAATAAATCCATATATATTTATTACACACTGCATTACACATTGATTGTCATTAGCTTGTGAAGCTGCTAAAAAACAAGTAGAGTTTTGTAAGTATATTAAATCATTATTAAAAAAAGTATATGTTTTTTTTAATCATTCTAGTAAACAGCCTTAAATTTTAACTAAATATCAAGAAGCTTTTAATAAGTCTGTTTTAAAAATTCTAAAAATTTTTGATATAAGATGACTTTCTTTTTATGAAGCAATTAATAATTTTTGTTTATTAATAGAATCTTTACTTGATATATTTTTTCATACTATGACAGAATCAAAAAATCAAAAAACTCAATCTTTAATTTTTGATTTATATTCAAATCTTTGCAATTAACAAACATTAGTTTTTTTTATTTTCTTCAAGATATTCTTTTTGAACTTATAAAATTAAGCAAAATATTTCAAACTAAATTGCTTAATTTTTCATATATATATTCAACAATTTAAATTACAATTATAAAATTAGAACAAAATTATTTAAATATAAATATTAATAGTAATCTTAAATTAGGTACAAATTTTAACAAATTTTTTATGACTATACCATCTCAAAGAGATACAAAAATTAGATTTTATAAGCTTACTTGGGTATTTGAATATAAAAGTAATCTAACAAATGATATTATAACTTTTACATCTATGATTATTTTAGAACTTAAAAAACAATTTTCAAATAATTCTTTCATTAATAGTATGAACATTTTTAATCTATCTAATAAAACAATAAATAGTAAAAATATATTAGAATGTAGTAATGAGCAATTAAATCTTCTTCTTAATTTTTATAGAAAACTACAGTCTTCTTTATTTCTTTTACCAATAGTTAATTTCTATAATACATGTATTGAATGGTTTTATTTTAAAAAATTTGTATATAAAAATTATCAGAACATACTAACAGACAAATTATTTACTATATTGTTTCAATTTCATTATAACTTATTTCTGAATCTTATAAAATTATTATTAATAATGTATTCTATTTCTTTTTTTAGTATAGAATATGAGTGTAGTTTTCTAAACAAATTTAATTAAAATTAAATTGCATAGTAGTTTAAATAATAATACACTATATATGTTAATGATGATAGGATTAAAAAGACTAAAAGAAGAAGAATTTAATTTTGATGATGCATTAAAGATTTGGTATGAAAATAGGACAAGAAAATATATAACTTTCAATAAATAAAAGATTAAAATTTTTGAAGAAATTCCAATTATAACAATTATGAATATGACAAAACATGGAAACAAACATCACTACTAATATGAAAATTTGTTGACCAGTATATTTTATCCAAACTTATTTTTTTTGTCTTAATTTAAAGGTAAGTTAATTTTATTTAACTGAACCAAAACATCTTTTAGTGATTAATGCTTATATTATAGTATAAATTAATCTATAAATTAATCTATTAATCAAATATATCATAAGGGTGTGGTGACCTAGTAAAGTGGTTAGGTTGTCAACTCCCAAGTGGCAGGTCCAGAGTTCAAATCTCAGTGTTGACAGAAAATTTGAAAATTCTTCCTGTGTTACTGTTAACTGTCTTTCGCAATTGGTTGAGATAAGACATCTGTAATCTATGTTGCACCAGCATAACTGGCAGGTCATATGGAATTTGTGTAACAGTCACATGATATTGGCCTTTGAAACAAGGTTTGTGGTTATACAAAGGAATGCAAACCAGTACTGGGCAGTGCAAAACCTACAATAAGTCCTCATGACTATATAAATCATAGGAACCAATAAAAGAAAGATGAAAGCCTACTTGGAAAATCTGAGTAGAGAGGTAAACCAAACTTTTGATGGTGCTACTGTAAAGACTAGACTTATGAAATGGAGCTAGAACTTGTGAAACTGAGCAAATGTGCTGGTCTTTAAGGAGGGACCAGATGAACCAACCAGGCCACTAGAATTTTTGGGTTCTGGTAGAAAAGAGTACATGCTGGCAAACATGTAAACCAGAGGTGTATAGTTTTGACCTACTTTTTTGGACTATCTGGAATGGCAGCTTAGTGGAACTTGAATTGAATACCAAAGTAATAAGAATATATTGTAAAGTAGTACTGGAGTTGGGGTGAACTCTACAAGGGCATAGTAGTTTAATAGTATGCCCTAATCACTAGTGTTAGTTTCAGCCATAGCAATACCAGGTTGGCTTTAAAAATAGGATATAGAAGATTCTAGAAGGTTTAGTACAAGGTCAAAGGTTTCAAAAAACTGCTTTAAAGACTTAGTGGCCATGTCATATTTTCATCAGCATTGGCTAGAGTTATTGGTAGGCAGAGATAGATGAGTAGATATGGAAACAGAGTAGTTAAATAGAGAACCTACAAGTGGATTCCAGGTATGGCAGCTAGTGTAGAACCTTTGGGCAGACTATTTAAATTAAACAATGACTAAAGTTGTATAAGTGGCTAGTTGTACACTCTCTTCATAGTTGCCCCTGTGGTTGTAAAGCAATCATTAGCTAAATATACTATCAATAAAATCCTGGGTCGCAAGTACTCATCTTAATATTTTAAAAAAAAAAAATCAAATATATCATTGTATATATTAATCCATTAATCAAATATTTTATATAGATAAACAATTATGCATTAATATGATATGCATGCATTAAATTGTTATTTTGGCCAATTAAATTCTAATATAAATAGATTAATAATGACAATTTTTAAATAGCCAGCATATTACTATAATGTCTGAAGTCCTGGTTAGGAGTATAGCCAAAGGTATCTCTAATAACTAATTAAAAAAAATCAAATAAGAAAAACTCTAAACAAGATTATATAATATTTATAAATATACCTTGGGCAATATAATTTTCTGTGATATTTCTGCTAACAAGACCCAGTTGATGGTATTCAATAATCAATAATGGATTGCTATAAAAAATTTTATCATCATCTTTATATTTTTCAAAAATAATATCACACTATATTGCAAGAAGATTTTTTGTCTCTTTATTAAATTTCTTTAGAAGTGATATTTTTTTGGAATAACTTTTGTTGT